GGAAGGGAGAATTCAGAAACTTCCACTACCTACAGGCCAGCTACTGTACCATCATTAATTATCTCACTCAGCTAACATTTCTTAAGCACTTACCACGACTAACCCATTTAATTTTTATAACTGTTATTATCATACCCGTTCTATGAACGAGGAAAATGAAGCTTTGAAAAGCCATATATCTTGCTCAAGGTTGCAAGTTAGTAAATGGAGGGTCCAGGATTGGAAGCCACAGAGTCTAAGACTTTTTTTAGCCACTGTATGATACTGACTCTCCTACCCCAGTAGGGTGCTGGATGGATCCTCAACACAACCTGTGTGGTAGATACTCAGTGCACGTTGGACAACAGCAAACAGAGATGTGTGGCTGTGCATGGTGGAGGGAAACATGAGGCAGTGACGGGGGCGGGGTCTCTGCGTTCCATACTGCGGAATCCCAAGGCATGATACCAACTATGTCCCACCGGTGGCGTGGGAACTCTGGGAATGCCGATGTTCTAAGGGAAACTGGCTGGACAAATGCTGCCCTTCTGGCCCCAGCTATGTTAGATTCTAAAGAATGTACAACTAGAATGTGAAGCCAAATGCCTGACTCCTTCCTCATCTTTTCAGGGCCAAAAATGGGTGACATTTATTATATTTTTCAGACTGTATTGTAAATTTCTTGAGAGCATAAATTTTTTATGTACATAGAATATCTGAGCAACTTGAGTTGCATGTGTAAAGTATAAATATATGCAAATCAAATAAAAATGTGTTGACTGGAGATGCTATGCCTGATGGGAGTATGTGCATTGCAACAATATTAGCAGTTAGGTGTCCTGGTGCTGTCAACTGTTGAAATGGTCATTTCAGCAATAGCAATCCACAAGCCATAAACAATCTGCTCTTAACGGACACTGCATGTGCTAAATGTCCAGAACCTGACATTATATGATTTGCCTCAGAAACATTCTTAATATCTATTTCTGTTCCTTTATAGGTTTTGATTAGTATAAAACAAATATATAAGTTCAGGCAACTAAGCATTTAAAAAGTATGAATATTTATAAGCATGAACTTCCCTGTAATTATAATTAACACATAAATGTAGGAAGTATACTCTTGCCAGCAAGATTTAAAGAAATATAAACTTCTGGGGACATAAATCCTGGTACCTTTCTTGCTCACTTACACTGTTAGAAAATTTCTGGTTAACCTAATCAAAGTTTTTCTCCCAGGCCCCCAAAGAGGCCCTTGTCTGGGATACTGACTTCTTTGAGGCCATTCTGTGACTCCGAGACTTTAGTTCCTGGCACTGCCTTGGAGCCCTTCCTTCAATTATAGAAAATAACTGAGTTTTCTGATGGCAAAGAAAGCCTTTCTCTACTTGATAACTGACACTCAGCTTTATCCTACAATGTTGTCTTTATGCTTCTAGGCATAAAGGAGAAACTGACTTTCAGCTCTTTCCTGGTGTTTCTGATCCCTTAGCTCAGTGAAACTGAAAGTGTGAGTGCTCCCACAGCCTCTTCCTTCTTGTAGGCCTTTGGAGAAGGTATTTTCCATCTACCTGAACATGGCCACAGAAGAGAACTGAACTGAAACCATCTAGGAGATTGCCGTTCATTTACATTGCCCTTGTCTACCTTTCCTCTATCCTTGATATTTTCTGAAATTGGCTTTATCAACAGTTTCCAGTCTTAACTCTCTTGAGCTGTTTGCACAACCTTATCTTCCTGTAGTGGCTGCTTACCTAAAACAGCCTTTATAAAATGCAGCCGTCAATGAATTATAGCTTCTTTCCATACTATTTGTCCAACTGCATTCAGAGACAACTCAGTTCCTGCCCCTGAGAGCATTCTAGAAAGCTCTTGTAAAAGAAAATGAAGAAAATGAGCTCTTCTTTAAGTAAAGATGTGAGGCATCTCAAGTGTACTCCAAAAAGTCTTGCTTTTGGCCGAGTGTGGTAGCTCATGCCTATAATCCCAGCACTTTGGGAGGCCAAGGCAGGTAGATCACGAGGTCTGGAGATAGAGACCATCCTGGCCAACATGGCGAAACCCTGTCTCTACGAAAAATACAAAAATTAGCTGGGCGTGATGGTGTCTGTAGTCCCATCTACTCAGGAGGCTGAGGCAGAAGAATCACTTGAACCTGGGAGGCAGAGGTTGCAGTGAGCTGAGATTTTGCCACTGCACTCCAGCCTGGTGACAGAGTCAGATTCCATCTCAAGGAAAAAAAACAAAAAGTCTTGCTTTGTTCCAGGACTATTGAGTAATGCAAAAAAAAAAAGATAGGTACATATATATATATTTGCCATATAGTTTCATAGCACGATAAATTTCCAGGTGAAAAACACTAAAGAGGATACGTGAAATTCACCATCTTCTTTGCCAGGTACAGGTACTGTACTGTATTAAACATCTTTTTTTTTTTGCATTTTGATTCTCTAACATCAAAGGGGCCTTGTTGACCCGGGAGGGACTGTCCCTCCCACAGCTAGCCAATTCTTAGTGATGGTACACAATTTGCCCTCAAGCTGTTTACACAACAACCAATACAAACCAATCCTGCAGAGCCTGCACCCCAAATACCTCCACCATCAGGGTCTCACACTAACCACCCTAGGGCCAAGTACCAGATAATTAGGATAACTCCTAGGCTCTGGAGATTATTCAAATTTGCCAACCCTAAACCTGCTTACCCTGTCTAGCCTGTTCCTTCCCATGAAAACCACATTGAAGGTTCTTGCCCATGCTTTCTCTGTTCCCTCTGTCTCCTGACTAGCCCTGGTACTTTCCCACATGCTCACTTGTGGTGTGGCATGGCTCTTTCTCTTGGGATGTGTGAGTATAACATATTTTCTTTTTGATGACAGTCATCTGATCTGTTAGCTTTACCATACCTAGATAATAGTAGAACCTGGCCAGGCGTGGTGGCTCATGCTGTAATCCCAGCACTTTGGGAGACCAACAGTGAAGTGTTTGAGGCCAGGAGCTTGATACAAGCCTGCACAACATAGTGAGAGGCCACCTCTTTAAAAAAAAAAAAAAAAAAAAAGAGGCCATGCCAGCCTGTAGTCCCAGCTACATGGGAGGCCAAGGTGGGAGGGCTGCTTAAACCCAGGAGTTGAGGGTGAGCTATGATCTCGCCATTGCACTCCAGACTGGGAGACAGAGTGAGACCCCGTCTTAAAGAAAAACTAAAAATAATAAAACCTGTGTTTTAAAATAGGTACATAAAGATAAAGGGATACAGGGTGGCAAAAGAGGACAGCTGGCCCTAGTACTCTGGTCATTCAAATAAACTCAGATGAAATGAAAGCATCCACAGTGAGATGCTGCAGGTTGCAAAAGGTGATGAGGTTTTTAGGGGTCCTTGCCTTCTGAAGCACAGACTGAGTGCCACTGGAAAGACAGCTTATGAAGAAAATGAAAGTAGTCCTAATTCATCTAAACAGTAACACTAAGGATTTAATCAGATCAAATATTCTCTATTCTAATACATCTCATTGAAATTGCATCACAGAAAACTCAGTGTAAAAAGCAAAGTCCCCACAAAACTGTATTCTTACTTAGGGCTTAACTTCCATCACTGCCTCTGGAGTAAAAGCAGCTCAAAGGCAGTTTTATCTGACTGTGTGCACATACAGGTATTGATCGACTTACGACCTATGCAACTTACGACCATTCGACTTTACGACCACAATCGCTAGCCACGACTGCTCCACGTCTGGCAGCGCAAACGTTGCCCCGCTGGGCGTACGACAATGCGGACCAGCTTCCGGCAGCACTACCATCTCTGCGTGCACCATTTCAACTGCTATCCCAGACTCGGTACAGCAATTTGTGTTTTGTGTCTTGGATATTATTCATGAAACCCCTCCCAAGATATCTACCAAGAGGAAATTGTCTTTGTCTACGCCAGCCTGCCAAGAAGGAAAGAAAGGCCATCGATCTCGACACGAAAATGAAGGTAATTAAGCAGTACGAAGGAGGAAAGAAAGTGAATGTGATCGCACGTGATACGAAGTTATCACACTCGACTGTGTCGATGATTTTGAAAGATAAAGAAATAATTGGTAAAGCTGTGAAAGGTTCTGCACCCATGCGATCAACAGTTATAACAAAGCAACGAAGCGGGCCCATCCACGAAATGGAGAAATCGCTATATATTTGGATGGAAGGTCAAATTCAAAAACGGCCAATAAAATGTTTCGTACATGTTTATATATTTTGATATGTTTTGCAATTGGGAAAATGTTTCCTATGGTATTTTTTACACCTGTATTTTGTATTTTTGTATGCACCTGTATTTTGTAATTATGTGTGTTTTGCAAATATTAAACCAGTTGTACTGGTAATGCAGTGTTTTACTTAAACCTGACGAATGTAAAAATAAGAAACAAAATGGTGTAGAGATGATACAAATGGCATAAAGTGAACAAAGAAAATTATGATATATAACAATAATGAAAGAAAATTATGATAAAATATGACTTAAAGATTTTTATAACATTGTATCATAGTACTGTACATATAGCCTACTCAACTTATGACCAAATCATGTTACGACCGGTCTGTCAGAACCAATCGTGGTCGTAAGTCGAGTACTAGCTGTAGTAGGTGCTAAAGATTTGTTTGCTGACTGAAGAAATGTTTCTGATCATCTTTGATCAACAGAGTGAGAGATAACATATCAAAGATGCCCATTTAAGGAATTCTATAAGTGGAAGAATGACTTTGGAGCTGCGAATTAAAGCTACTCCCTTTGATCCAAACTATTATATTCCCACCACATTCTGCCACCTCTTGCAGAGCAATCTCGGACACTTATTTGGTGTCAGTGGACATTTTGGCATCTCCTGGCTGTTGGCTGACCACTAAACCCCATCCACTTCTGCAGCCTTCTGGCTAATAGCTAGCCATCAGTGAGCATTTTTCAGGGATTGACAATGCGCTATGACAAATGGCTGAGCTCCTGTGGTGACTTGGGTACTATTATTGCATGGTGCCACTTACCAAAGGCTCTAGCTCCTTGCGGTCTATGAGGTTCATCTCTGTGACAAAGTAATAGAAGTGCTTGTAGCAAGTGTTGACATGGGCCTCTGCACCCATCACGATGACCCGGTCGAAGTGGTGAATGTAGACGTGGACAAAGACCCGGAAAAGGCGGCACAGGATCTTCTTGCAGATCTGAAGAAAGTTCTTTGGAAAGGGAACACCTAGAGAAGAAAAAAAGGAGAAGGAATGAAACCATGACGGGAAAGATCCTTTTCTTCTTTCCCCTAATACCAGAAAACTGTCTGAGGGCAATGCTACAAGGAGACTGGCACCCCCTGTCACAGAAGTCATAGGGAATGGGGGTGCAGGTGGTGTTAGCAAACTAGAAAGCACCTTCTACCTCCCCATCAAAGGAGGCAATTGCTATGACTGCAGCCAACACTGGCCATATAGGGAGGGAGGCCCAGTGTTGTTAGAGCTTCTAATTTTTCAACATAATTCAGAAATTTGGAGTTCTATGTGGACCTGCTGCATTTTTTAAACATTAGCAATTAATTTGAAGTTTTAAAAAGTGCCATGAGTCAAAATAAAACACCCCTCTAAGTTATACTGGTACTTTGCAACCTACCAGTTTGCAAAGGTTTTCCTGAGATATACTGTTTCTGAGGTGGGCAAATTCAATAACTTTCACAGATCATAGATCGATCACACAGATTCTCCCTTCGTCTCTTTGAGGAAGGTAAGAATTGGGAGGAGGTCTTGTCTTTCATAACACCAGAAGGGTGAGTGGTCAGCGGAGTCACTCAGATTTCCTGTCTGATGACTACACCCAGCTCCGTCAAAGCAACAAATTGCAGGATCGAAAGCCCACGTCCTTCAAAGGCTGCTTACGCTATCTTGTTATTTACACTTTCCTTAAATGGCGACACGTTGTGATGGGTTCCTAAGCTAAACAGACATTGTTCGAATTCCTACTCAGCTCCCCTTCCAGCTGTATGACTGTGGGCAAGGTATTTGACGTTTGGTTTCTCATCTATAAAAGAATGGTGATAATAAGGTCTTCCTGACATGGCTGGGAGGGTATTAAGATCTTCCTACAGTGTCTAGAACATAGTGAGAGCTTATCAAATGATAATGTCCTCCCTTCTCTCTGCAAGGTAGGGTCTGTTGTTATAAGGAAAAGTATTACCCTTGTCAAGGAAAGGAAGGTAAAAATGACTGCTAGCCTTTCAGCAAAATTGTAGAGCTGTGCACAGGGCATGCCCCCAAGTCCTGAGGAAGCCTGGAGTTTTGCTGTCCTTTACTCCACAGAAAGCTAGTGGCAGCTGTCTGGTGAGACACTGTAATGGGATCACCTGGGACCCCAGGGCAGGATGAGACAGAACATGTCTGGCAGGCAGCAGTGACAAGATCTGCCTCCCTCGGGTCCCAGCACTGATGTGGGCTTTTCTTCACAACAAAGTGGCAACTTATCAAATGAACCCAGGGAGAGGCTCTGGCATAGCTTGGCAGCTGACTGCCTGGGCAACAGATGCTGGGATTTGGGGTTGAGGACGAGGTAGAGCCGAGGAGAAGGTGGAGGGCAGCCGCATGCAGAGTTTATGGGCTGCATTCTCCGTGGAGATAGGGCCTGCAGAACTGCTGCTGCCATGCTGGGGGAGGGTCTGGAGTCTTTGAAGCCTGAGTCCCAGAAGTGATGGAATTCCCTCTAAGATAGGTATGTTCCCTTCACGAGGGGAGTCCTGTATCCCACCTGGTGACAATGCCAGGAGGTTGACATATGTTATCTTCGTAATCTATCTGTGGAATAGGTTTTATTATTCCTGTTAATGTTTCATAGATAAATAGCCCTGAGGCTCTGCGGCATGAATTCTGGTTGCTAAAAAGTGGTAGGGCTGGGATTTGAACCAAGTCAGCCTGACTCTAAAATCCCAAAGTGGGGGACACAAGGACTTTCAGCTGCACCGGTTTATCTGTGTGGCCCTTATAACCAGGCCCCATACCCTCCACACTGACTACAGATGAGGCAAAGTCTTGGACACACTGAGGATGCTCACGGCAATTGCTGGCCCCCCTTTAGATGGTCTCCATGCTGCTTTGTTCCCCCCATCTCTGCCTCTGCTCAGCTTGGAAATCTTGGCTGTGCCTTCCCTTCCATACCTGGTCTCTGACTTTGTCTCTGGGCCTTGAAGGGGGCTTTCCTCTTGTGTATCCATTTTGGGCTATGGCTTTAGAGTAGTTGGTTTGGGAATTTGGAAGACTAAGTTTAAAATCTTAGCCCCACTACTTATTAGCTACATAGGCTAACTTGCTTACATAGCTAATAAGTAGTAGGGCTAGGATTTTAAATTCCTACTCTGCTCCCCTTCCAGCTGTACGACTGTGGGCAAGTTGACCTCTGTAACTAGTAAGTAGTAGGGCTAGGATTTTAAACTAGATCTTTAGTTGAGTCTTCATCACTCAACTTTATTATAAAACTGATAAACAAATTTACTTTGTACTGTTTTTATAATAGTATCCGGACTGTGCTTGGTACTTAATAGGAACTTTGGGAGCAAGTTCTACTTTCGTTATTTCCCACCCAACCTCCTCGGGTAGGTGGGACCCCAGGCTCAGAATCTTGTGGCTCTGGCTGCTATGTCAGGCTCCACTCTTCCACCATTCCCTCCCTTGCAAGTAATTCTTCAAAAGCAAAAGCTGCAAATGGTTCAAGTCAAGACATGCTCAGCATGCACTGCAGTCACCCCAGGCCAACTCCAGAGGCTGGGAGCACTCGGGAGCCTAGGAAACCTCACTGCTGAGCCAGAGACAAAATCCAGCTCACAGAGTGTGGGGCAAAGAACAGGAAAGCTACATGCATTTGAAAAATTCATCTATTTATTGATGGCTCAGGGACCAATTCTATAGTTTGTAAGCTATTTTCACCCTTTTCTCTTCTGCCTTACAGATATTCAGATGTATGTGTGTGTGTTTTAAATAAACCTTCTTCAGAGGGTGGGACTGGAAGAGGTTGTCCCTTCAGATGGAGAGACCCAGATGTCCACCTCTTCTGCAGACTCTGGAACTGTCTCATTCTGTGTAACTGGCCTCATGGCAGCAAGATAGAACAAGATGCAGCCTGCTGACACACTCCCTTTCCTGGCAGGCCCCAGAGAGCCAGTTCATGAAAACTGATTGATATGAAATGGTTTTCTTTCTTCATGGTACTTCAAGGAAGTGTCCAATCCCCACTAAATAACTAAAAGAAAAGAGAATTCTAAATGAGAGCTGATCGGTGTGTGTGCAATGTCACTTAATCCCGGTGATACCCTGAGTAGTGGAATTATTTCAGGTTTTTAAAAAATGGAAACTGAGGGTTAGTTCAGTTAGAGCATTTGCCCCAGGCCACGCAGGTAAAAGGAGATAGAAATTTGGCTTCAAAACACTTTCTTTCTTTAGCATTTTACAGGTTCTATGGTGTCAAGGAAGGTGAGGAACAAGAACACCATTTTATTTTTATTTATTCATTTTTTAAGGACAGGGTTTTACTGTCACCCAGCTTGGAGTGCAGTGTCACAATCACAGCTCACAGCTCACTGCAGCCCAAGCAATCCTCCTGCCTCAGCCTTCCGAGTAGCTGCGAATTAAGGCACATGCCGCCATGCCTGCCTAACTTTTGAAAATGTTTTTGCAGAGACAAGGTCTCGCTCTGTTGCCTGTGGGGGGCAGGGGGGGGGTCTCAAACTCATGGGCTCAAGCAGTCCTCCCACTTCAGCATCCCAAAGTGCTGGGTTTATAGGTGTGAGCTATCTTGTCCAGCTAAGAACACCATTTTATGAACTGCACTTAGCTTGCTTGTGGAAGGGGCTCAAAAAACATTTGTTTTAAAAGAATCCAGTTCAGCAGCTGGAAGAAGAAAGGCAACTGGATCACCTCAAATGGACACTTGGCGAGCTACAGCGGCAGCCCAGACCTGGGGAGCTGTGCATGGCTGGGTCTGAGCAAAGTGCAACCTGTGGTCTACATGGCACAACTGACCCAACATCAGGACCATAACCAATGCCCTCCTTCTGCCTCGTAGCACATATGATACGACAGACCCTCCACTTCAGTATTCCCCATTATGTATTTTAAAAATCACTCATCTTGAGAGATCCTTGGCTAAAAGGAGAGGATTCTGAGGCCAAATACATTGGCAAAAATGCTGCTTTCACAGAGGTTTACAACGTACCCAAGCATAGTAAAGGATCTGAGTACCTCTGTAACAAACAGTCCTCTTTAACTCTGGATTTCCCTTTGCTCATAATAGCTACCAATTTAAAACAGTCTGTAATCAGAATTCCCAGGCTTCATTTCTGGTTTTACCACTTATTCACAGTGTAGTCATATGCAGATGACTTAGTGTCTCTAAGCCTCAGTTTCCTCATCCCGAAAGAAAACAGGGCTATATTAACGTTATTTGTAGCTTAGGTTGTGTGCGGATTAAATACATAAGCATCTAAAAGATTTAGCTTACTGCCTTGCAGATAGTGAGTATTCTATTGTGAATTGTTAGTTTTGGTATCCCATTGACCACATGGTCTTTGTAACACACTTTGGGATTAAATTCCTCCCGCCTCTTTATTTTCAGGATGGGAGTCTGGACATTAATACATCAATTCTGAACTTGCAAAGAACTTACAGTGGCAGGTACTAAACAACCCCTGGAGTACAATCTACCTTGCATTATTTTCTACTAGTTTCTCAAACTTATGTCTTATACTGCTGCACGTTCTCTGAACAAAGGGACTGTGTTATACTTTGATTCCACCTTTGAAAGCACCTGGTACAGGCAAGGCATGGAATACTTCATCAATCAAAATTGAATCAGAAAACAGCAGTGGTCATATTTAGTCAAGATGTGAATCTATCATCTCCTGTTTGCAGGAGGCAAAAAAAAAAAAAAGTCCGCAGCAGAAAGGATAGCTTTTTGCCAGACTCTTGATATATGCAGTCCTAGCATGGAAAGCTGCATATTGCTTTTGGGGAGAAGAGAAAACTTTGCAATGAGGAACACTGTGATCCAGCCCAGGGTGTGGAAAGGAAAAGATCGGAAACTTTCTTTTTACCATTGAAACCTTCCTTCTTCTCTTTTCAATCTTTTATTTTTTGTCTCAGGTGGTGAAAGTTAATTTTCAGTCACTGTACTCAATTAGAAAGTTAATGCCAGACAATATTAACCAGCAATCTTACCTGAAATAGT